GAGAGAGGGAACACAAGCAGGGGGAGTGGGAGAGGGAGAAGCAGGCTTCCCGCTGAGCAGGGAGCCTGATGCGGGGCTCGTTCCCAAAACCCCTGGATCCTGACCTGAGCCAAAGGCAGACGCTTAATGACCAAGCCACCAGGCGCCCCTCAAACCACTTTTAGAGGACAAACAGGTGTTGGCTAAGTTCCTAGCTTTTATAGGATCCCAACATGGGCAACCCAGATAGCTAAACCATTTTTAGTTTTGATAATTTATTTTCAGATTATATAACACATACTATGAAAAAAAAGTAAGCCTTTCTTCATCCTACACCTGGTTTAAAGGATAGCTAAGAAAACATGGAGAAACTGATGATAAAGCGGGTGAGGGTGGGATTTTCATCTTCAACAGTTACTACTGATAAAACCTCTTAGCTGAGTTTTAATTGAAGGGGGAGAGTGGGAATTGTATATACATTTGTGGTTTAACAAGGTTCTTAAAAAGGCTAATTACAGTGGAAAAAGCAATTTGGCAAGAAAAAAAGTTATCTTGGCATCTGACTCAATCTTGACTGACTGCAAGAAACACCAGTACAATAAATGTGTTAGTCTGAACAGTGGAAGAGAAAAGAGCTCCAGAAGTTGAGCCCCTGCCACGTCTGGGCACCTTTGACACCACGAAAGCTTTTTACTTTGTCTCAAACTGTCCGTAGAGGTGGACTTTCTTTCTCTCTAACGGTCTACTTTGAAATCTTCACGCTTGGTTTCTCCCCCAGAAGAACTGTACCTGTCACCTCACTGCAAGGCTAGTTTTCTCTGAGAAATTAGACATCCAGGAGGACATAGCTACCCAGGGACTTAACTCAAGGAGGCTCACTTTCTGCAAGCAAATCCACCTTCCTCTGCTGATGTTCTCATATTAAAAACAACAAAAACATCGACACTGATGGGTAATTTTATGTGTCGACTTGACTGGGCTAAGCGATGCTTAGGGAGCTGGTTAGACATTATTTCTGGGTGGGTCTGTGAGGGTATTTCTGGAAGTAGACTTGAATCTGTAGACTGGAGAAAGCAGACGCCCTCACCAAGGCAGGTGGACATCCTCCAATCACTTGAGAGGCTGAAGAGAACAGGAAGCGGGAGGAAGAGTGAATTTCCTCTCTCTGCCTGAGTTGGGACATCCCTCTTCTGCCCTCAGACACTGGCATTCCCGATTCTCCAACCCTCAGATGTTGACTGAATTACATCACTGGCTTCCCTGGTTCTCTAGCTCATAGAGAGCAGATTGTGAGACCATCAGCCTCAGGAATCATGTGAATCAATTCCTAAAATAAATCTCCCCATATATAGATATAATCCAGATGTCTATATATAGAAGAAAACAGAACCAATAGGATACATCTATCTGCATCTGTAGTTCTACATAGCTATACAGAAAAATTGTCCCAGTAAATTTTACGTCTATACAGATATATCTACATAGTTATGTAGATATACAGTTGACCCTTAAACATGGGTTTGAATTGGGCGAGTCCACTATTATGCAGATTTTTTTCAATAAATAGACACACAGTATGATAAATGTATTTTCTCTTCCTTGTGTTTTTCTTAATAACATTTCCTGTAGCTTACTTTATAAGAATACAGTATATAATACATATAACATATAAAATGTTTAATCAACTGTTTACGTTATTGGTAAGGCATCCCAGTCAACAGCAGGTTATTAGTGGTTAAGTTTTGGGGGAGTCAAAAGCTAACCGTAACCCCCACCCCCTGGGTTGTTCAAGGGGCACTTGTATCCTATTGCTTCTGCATCTCTGGAGAACTCTAACACACTCACCAAAAGCCAACCAAACAAGCACATC